TGTTGGAATGCATATAAAAAGCAAAGTATTATCCAAATAGTGATATACTTAGTGCTTATGTTGGTAATAAAAGCTCATATGCATGGAAAGGTTTTCACAAAACCATTTAGGCTTTTTCAGGTGCACTATATTGGAGATTTGGACGGGATAGCTAAGTCAATATGACCAAGGATAAATGGGGTGGGTCGAAGTTAGTTTCCCTTACTAAAGATTACTCATATATTCTTGTGCAGCAGTTACATGCATGACATTTCATGCATGGTGGAATGTCTAGCTAGAATGATTCAAAGGTACACCACATTTTGACGTCATTGACTCTGACTTGATTTTGTTGACCCCCATTATACCAATCCAAAGGGTTGTGATCATATGGGGTAATCATGATTCTGGTATATACTCTATTTGTTCGGGTTATTTGTGGCTTTAATGTCCTAATCATTCTCCGACGTCTACTTCCAAAGTTTGGAAAATAGTTTCTAAACTACATATCCCGCCTAAGATTAAAACCTTTTCTTGGAGAGTGGCGTATGATGGGTTATCGGTTGGTAAGTGGTTACGTGAAGCTGGCTTAAATGATTACCTTTTTTCAATATGTGATTTTGAAGAAGATACAATAGTTCATATTTTACAGGATTGCTCTTATGCCCAACTAAATTTTATTTGCACAGGTACGCATGGTACATTCTTTTCTAGTAGTTTTTTTCTCCATTGGATTGGTTAGACTTGGTGATTACTAATTTGGATCTAGTTGGCCATGCTTTGGAACCTTTGGAATACGAGGAATTCCAAGGTGCATGATAACAAGATTTAGTCCCCAAGGATACTGGCCACCAATGCTACCTCCCTACAATATGACTACCTATTGGCCAAGAAGCAGCACCGGGAAGAGCGAGGACTTTATGATCTTTTCCAGGAGAAACTTCGTGTATTGATCATGCAAAGTGGCAACCTCCCACTCCAGGTTATGTGAGGATCAATCTTGATGGTGCTTTTAAGCGTATTGGGTGTATAATGGCTATGAGGGTTATTGCCTGAGGTTCTGTTATTTAGGTTCTTGGCAACATGGATGCATCATCACCAGGTTGTGTCGAAGTTGAGTTTTCGGAGATTTATGCTCTGAATGCAATACATTATTTAGCAATTGAGTATCGACGGACACATGTAAACTTTGAATCGAACTCAACGCTTGTAGCCAACAAGATCTCTCGACTGGAGGAGAATTTGTCCACGTTGGGTTATCATATTCGGAAAGCTCGTAGAATTTTGGATGCTAATTTAAATTACATATTGTGTTTTTTTCCTAGAGTTTGTAATATTGTGGCACATACTTTGGCTAAGTGGGCTCTCCGTTTTGGAAATGCCTTGTATTTTGACTCAGTTTGTCCCGAGATTATTACATCTATTGTATCCAATGATTCATCTTTTTGTAATATAAGGTCCTAGGACACTCGTTTCCCCTTATAGGTCATCTAATAAGTTTATAATGAGGTACATTTTCTTTAAAAAAATATATTTTTAAAAGTAATTATTTATTCAAACTTCTTAATGGTAAATATAAACATTTTAAAATGATGCATTTTAAAAGTCTCCAAAATTTTAAATTTTGCATCAAAACACATCCTTATTATTTATAGAATGGACAATCAAATGAAACATGATCTTTTACCTCTTTGTCAATGTTTTTTTTCCTTCTTATATACCAAATAGACCCACATAAAATGATCAAAAAAATCAAATAAGCTTATGTTTGAAATATCAACTCAAATAAAACCCTTAAAATTGTATCAACTCAAATATAGTATTTTTATTTTTGATATATTTTAAAATATTTTATGTATTTTTATTAAGTATATGATTTTTTATATAAAAAAAGATTAGCATATTGCATGTAATCTACATATCAAGTGTGAGTAAAGATATAGGGTAAGTTACTGCTTGTAAGCTCTTAGCCTCTTACTTATCAATCCAAATAATTGCTATAAGATGGAAAGAACTTGTATTGCTTGTAGAAAATAATGGATAAAAAATTGACAACTTATTCAAATAAATATATATATATATATATTTATTAAAAAAGATATAAATATGAGAAAAAGTATAATATGTAACTTTTATCTTATTTAAACGCTAACAATAAAGCTGGGTCACGACTTTTTTTGGCCCAATAGGAAGTTTGGATTAATAATTTAGGGTTTTACTCATCCTCCAATTTTAATTAGGGATCTACGACATTTGTTACAATATTGAGAGAACTTGTCATCTCGTAGCAACGAGTTCTATGAAATATTATTTTTTAATGGACTCAGATAAATAGGTCCCATGTGGGCCATTAATTTATTATTTTTAAGCGAATTTGTCACGCTGAGCTGATGAGTCCAATAAAAAATTATTTTTTATTATTGAAAAAAATTAAATTAGAAATTTAAAAAAGGGGGAACTCGTCACCTCGAGGTGAGAGTTCCTTCGAATTCAAAAAACTAGTCATTTTGTAGCTGTCAGTCAACGGGCAGTTCTATAACAGTCACAATGGAACTCATTATGTCGAAGTGACAAGTTTGTTCGGATTAAATTAAAAAAGTAAAGTAATTAAAAATATTTTTATTAAAATAACATTGTTTACAAACTAAAAAAATTATTTATATTTTCGAATGATAATGGCGCGGGGATCGTCGAGTATGTCGGGGTTGTCGTCGTCTTCATCTTACCGAGGAGGTGTACTTAACACACTCTGAGATCCACCTTCGAAATACGGTGATGGGCTTATGGTATTTTCCGCCATCTTTGTCGTTACTAAATCAACTTGGTGACTATGTTGTTGATCATATACAATATGATTCCATTCACCCTCAATCGCATGTTCTGTCGAAGATGTTTAAGTGTGTTACATTGCATCCCATAAACCTCCAACCCAAGTCAACTGAGTCTTGGTTGAAGTATGATATGCAACATAGAAACTGAAACTAGCCTGAGATGATTATAGTAATCTTCAGCTGCAGATGTTGAAGAAGAAGAAGAAGACGCCGATGATTTCTTCTTGGACTTGGGGAAAACGGTCTAATGCTGCTCCCATTCACCCCTCTCTTGTTGTGCTGTGAGATATGGTTTCCCAATTTCTTCGTAATTTCGGAGATAGGGAGAATGGTTGAAATCTAGGTCCAACGGTGTAACATCGTACCGCAGGGGGTGCGATAGGTGTTGCTGATTCCATAGCTCGATGTAGTAAGTGTGCTTTACCGACCAATTTTTGGTATGTTTCCCACGCGTATCAATTCTATGGAGTGCGTCCATCTCAACTATTTGCGTAGGAATCGACTGATGTGACGCATATTATCATAATACTCTATCATTGGTGTGCCACTCAACAATCACAAAATGTAATAATGATGTCACGTCACACCATAAATTGAACCCTTAAAAATTTAATATGGCAATAACTGGTAGATCTCGTCGTCAGCATATGGAAGCCAAGAAAACTGTAAATATTAAATATCAAAGTTAATATATATAATTTTTTAAAAAAAATAATAAAAGAACAAATGTATATTGCATATCGAACTGCGATGTCGATCCTCATCTGTATATCTTTTGCAGTGGCATCTGACAACTTCGTCTCGATTATTTTATGGTGCTATCTAAAATATTTAAAAATAGAAAAAAATTAAAAATGGATAAAAAAAATTAATTCAAATTTAAAAACAAAGTTTAAAAAATTACCTTCTAGCAAAAGGAAATTCGACCGGAGCTGTTGTAATCGACGTCAAAAATATGAATCGATTCAAAGCCCACGATTGTAGCAATATTAGACAGCCTGGTACATCGACTTTTCGACCCCACTCAACAATTTCAGCCTTACAAAACTCCCGGTACAGAAAGGTTAAAATCGTTGAACCCTTACTGGTATTGCAACACTCAATGAAGTAGATATCTCAGATTTATCCGGTAATAATATCTCTTCGATTAGTTGAAGAACATATGTTCGGGATGCAAAAATAACCTTGTCCTCGGTAGAGTTGTTGGTCACTTGGAATTCGAACTCCAGCCACATCATCTGTACCCGATAACCATCGATGCACTCGGATGGTGACACCTTTCCTAAAACTTCCTAGACCAACGTCTTGGGGTCGTAATTGTTCTGCCTCATCACGGGGTCTCCATTCACGGGAACATCGAGTTGGTAAGCGACTTCTTCCAAAGTAATTGTCGCTTCACTATTTGGGAAATGAAAAGTATGCGTCTCGGGTCACCAATGTTTTATCAGAGCTTGAATCAATGTCGGGTACACTTTGAAGCACGTACAAATATGACTGGAAAAAGATCAGATTGCTGAAGATGTAGCAACATCTGAGGATACGAATCTCTCGCAGTTATGCCGCACTGACGAACACTTCGTTCTTCTTCCGACAGGAGTTTGAACGATGAAATATGGACGTTGTCGAGGCGTAACATTTCTTCTTGGGAAGCTATTTTTCAGGATTTTCATAGAAAGTTGAATTTTCATAATTTTTTGGATTTAAGGTTTAATGAAAAATCAAAACCCCAAACCCTTATTTATAATCTCAATTTGAACGATTATAATAAAATAATCTGGAGGAACTCATCACCTCGAGGTGACGAGTTCCAAGTGATCGTTGCACAACGATTAGTTTTTTTGAATTCGAGGGAACTCGTCACCTGCCGTCTTGTTTTTTTCAATAATAAAAAATAATTTTTTATTGATCTCGTCAGCTCGACCTGATGAATCCACTTAAAAATAATAAATTAATGGCTCACATGAGATCCACTCATCAAGCTCGAGGTGACGAGTTCACCTGATACTGTAACAAATATCGTAGATCCCTAATTAAAATTAGAGGATGATAAAAACTCTAAATTATTAATCCAAAAGCCCTATTGGGCCAAAAAAGCGCTGGGTCACAAAGGCTAAAGCGCACCTAAAATAAACTATTTAGACCCATAAAAAGCTCAATTGACAACAATATCAAATTAACCCTAATCCTCCAGGCCACTCTTAACACCATATATTTTCCCCAAACCCTATTTCTCCACTTCCTCCATTGGCCGTCGAAGAGGAACCTCCAAGAAAATGAAGTACAACCCACGAGTCTCCTCGTCTCGCCGTAAGAGCCGCAAGGCCCATTTCACGGCGCCATCATCCGTTCGCCGCGTTTTGATGAGCGCGCCGCTCTCATCGGATCTGAGGTCCAAGTACAACATCAGGTCCATGCCGGTCCGCAAGGACGACGAGGTCCAAGTGGTTCGCGGTACCTATAAAGGCCGCGAAGGGAAAGTAGTACAAGTGTACCGCCGCAAATGGGTGATTCACGTCGAGCGCATCACGCGTGAGAAAGTGAACGGTTCCACCGTCAATGTCGGGATCAACCCATCGAAGTGTGTTATCACCAAGCTGAGGCTGGACAAGGATCGGAAGTCGTTGCTGGATCGTAAGGCTAAAGGGCGTGCCGCTACTGATAAGGATAAGGCTGAAAAGTTTTCCGCTGAGGATATCATGCAGAGTGTTGATTAAGGTTCATCTTTTTTTTCCTTCTTCGTGTTTTGTTATGTTATCATTTAGGAAATTTGCAGCTTTCGAGCTTTAGTTTTATGCCTCTGTTTTGCCATATTATCAATCTGGAATGCGATGATGAATCTGGGAATTTTTAGACTTATTGGTATGTATTACAATTATTGCTTATGTTGCCTTTTTTCTTGCGGGTTATTTTCAGCATTTTTTATTTTATTTTTGCCTTTGTTGTAGGCTTGATTTTTCAATGCATTATTTACTAACCACTTATTCAGAAACTATGACTAATTAAGATTATCATTTGGTCATTTACAATTGAAAACACGTAGTTAGGATTAGGATTAGGGATGATTGTCGAGCGAGTTGTTACTTATCTCGTTGCTCGTTAAGCACGCCAACATTTTTATCTTAACTTTTTAATTATAGGAAAAATCTACCTTAATATAAACATAAATGATAAATTGATAAATAACCAAAGAATTATCAAAAAGTGTATTAAACAAATTGAAAAACTAAACTTCAAAATAATAATACACAAATACATTAAAATAATAGTTAAGATTTAATTTTTGGATGTAGTAAAATAATATTCATTAGAAAATTAATAGATTAGTCATTTATCATCAATTAGTAATGTTTTTAATAAAATAATTTTTAAGATAATTTTTAAAAAGTTATAAGAAAGATTAAACAGCTTCTTGCCAACTCATCTAGTTCAGTTGGACTTTGTTTGACCTAGCTCGTTAAGGTCTTGAATTTGAGTTTGAGTGAAATTTTTATTGAGTTTTAACTAAGTCGAATTTGAACTGTTCACGAGTTGCTCAACTCATTAAAAACCCCTAATTAGCACAAACAAATGATAAATTTGGCACTAATACCAGTGGTGTGTACTAAATTTGGCAACATGTGCCCCCAAAAGTAATAATGGATGTGCACCAATGCTTACTTGGTGTCTGTTTCAAACCAATTGTTGTTGTAAATGTGACGCCAGACAGAATAGTGATTATCCTACAAGTGCTCCAACAGATGATTCACAAGAGAAAATTCGCCCAAAAAAATTCAGAGAAAAAAAGTCTTTAGGGTTTAATAAAATATTATCAAATCAAATAATCCCAAAAATCAGTTCACGAGCCGGACTGTTATAGCCAAAAATCGTCTTTATTCGAATTTTGCCAAAAATAACAAAATCGCGAAAATCACTCTAAATTGAAATTCGAAATAAAATAAGCAATCTCCAAAAAATCCGGCCTAAATCAGATTTAAATTGACTTCCTAATTGACAATCGAAATATTACCATAAATAGTAAAAGTATCTAAATCTAGTGATTCGAAGGGGAAAACGGCAGAATTTGAGGTTGAAAAAAAGGCCACATGGAGCATAGCTCAATGTGGAGAGCGTGCGCGTCGAAAATAGCTTTCTGGATTGGGGTCTTATGCGCGATTCTGACACCTGTAGCCAAAGTTATGGCTAAAAGACTGAAACATACTCAAAACGACCCCAATGAGGAACATGTCACAATCAATTCCCGCCTTTGCGCCGATCTGCCAATTCATGGTATCTCAACGCCATCAATGTGCAATTTGACAGCTCAGCATCATCTGTCTCGGATCCCCCTGCATCAGTCATCCCGGGTTGGAAAGAACTCGTCCTCGAGTTCAGAGTAGTGTCATCAGAATCCATAAAACAATGACTCAGGTGCTTCACATTAAAGACATCAGAAGTCTTCAAGTGGCTGGGAAGGCGCAACCTGTAAGCATTATCATTGATCTTCTGCACGACCTCACAAGGTCCAATCTTCCGATCCTTAAGCTTATTATACTCACCAACAAGAAAACGATCACGAGTTAATACAGCCCAAACAAAATCACCAACATCAAAAAGTACCTGACGACGATGATTGTCGACCCGAGTCTTATACTTGGTATTGCTCTCATGAATGGTTTGTTTCACCTGCTCATGGATACCCCGAAGATACTTTGCCATCTCATCTGCTTTAGGATTGAAATGACCTATACGTGGAATAGGGGCTAAGTCTAGCACCCCGGATGGGTTCTGACCATATACAATCTCAAATGGGCTTAAACATGTGGTTTTGTTTTTTGATCTGTTGTAGGCAAATTCTGCCTGAGGCAATGCCAAATCCCACTGCTTCGGCTTCATTCCTGCCAAACACCTCAATAGGTTTCCCAAACTTTGGTTCACCACATCGGTCTGACCATCCGTCTGGGGGTGGTAGGCGCTATTGAAATTCAACTGCGTTCCCAGTTTCCCCCACAGGCTCTTCCAGAAATGACTGATGAACTTAGTATCACGATCTGAAGTGATGGATCGAGGAACATCATGTAAACGCACAATCTCCTTGAAATAGAGATGGGCAATCAGTCAGCATCCATAGTCTATCTGCAAGCTACAAAATAAGCCATCTTGGAAAACCTGTCAACCACAACAAAGATAAAATCCGAGGCCCTTTGGGTGCGGGGTAAGCCTAGTACAAAATCCATGCTGACATCGAACCAAGGAGCTTCAGGAACAGGTAATAGAGTGTACAAGCCCGCATTGGTGAGAACTCCCTTAGACCGCTGGCACACATAACAACGGTCCACATAATGGGCCACATCACTAGTCAACTTGGGCCAATAAAAGTCAGAAGAGATAAGGGCCAAGGTCTTATATCGGCCAAAGTGTCCCTCATTATGGAGTTCACTTATAATTTGCTGCCTCAATGAACAATCTGGAATGCACAACTGTAATCCACGAAACAGATACCTATTATGCAAAACAAAATCATGACGGTGACCCCCAGTTACCTCCTGAAATATCCTTCCAAGGGAAGGATCAGTTGCATACATTTCTGTGAACGTCTCAAAGCCTGCAACTTTAGTACTCATGGTGGTGAGAAGTAAGGTACGTCGGCTCAGGGCATCTGCGACGCGGTTCAAACTCCCTGCTTGGTGCCTCAGCGTAAAAATGAATTCTTGCAAGTATGCCCCCACTTGGCATGACGTCTACTCAGCTTGTGTTGTCCATTGATGTACTTCAAGGCCTCATGATCGGTAAACAGAATAAACTCCTTCTGTACTAGGTAGTGACGCCAATGCTTCAGGGACTGAACTATGGCATAGAACTCCAGATCATAAGTGGAATAATTTTTCTTTGATCCCGATAGTTTTTCATTGAAAAAAGCAACCGGACGACCTGCCTGACTCAGAACACCACCAATGCCAACGTCAGATGCATCACAATTTACCTCGAACACTTTGTCAAAATCTGGAAGTGCCAAAACTAGAGCCTCGGTCATATTTTGCTTGACCAGTTGAAAATTGGCCTCTGCATCCTCAGACCACTAGAAATCACGCCCTTTGAGGCACTCTGTGATAGGGGCGATCAGAGTACTGAAATTTCTAATGAATCGGCGGTAAAAAGACGCCAAGCCATGGAAACTTCGGATGTCATGTAAGGTCTTTGGTCTGGGCCACTCCAAGACTGCATCTACCTTTGACTGATCTGCATGAACACCATCAGTAGACACAACAAAACCAAGAAAAGTCACAGAAGTAGTGAAGAAAGAACACTTCTTTTGATTGACAAACAAGCACTCCGTTTTCAGCATCTCAAAAACAACACGGAGGTGATCGAAGTGTGAAGTCCATGTCGGACTATAAACGAGGATATCATCGAAGTAAACTACAACAAATTTCCCCATAAAAGGTCGCAAGACCTGATGCATAAATCTCATGAACGTACTGGGCGCATTGGATAGCCCGAAAGGCATGACCATCCACTCATACAACCCTTGTGGCGTTTTAAACGCCGTCTTCCACTCATCTCCAAGTCTTATTCTGATTTGGTGGTAACCGCTCTTAAGGTCAATTTTTGAGAAGACCGTAGAACCATATAGTTGATCCAACATATCATCTAGACAGGGAATTGAAAATCGGTACTTAACTGTAATTCTGTTGATCGCTCGGCTGTCAACACACATACGCCAAGAACCATCTTTATTTGGCACTAGCAGAGAAGGGACTCCACATGGGCTCATTCTCTCTCGAATATAGCCCCTCTCCAACAACTCTTCCACCTGTCGCTGCAACTCTTCAGCCTCCTTGGGACTGAGGCGATATGTTGGTCGATTTGGCAAACTTGACCCAAGAACAAGGTCAATTTGATGCTGAATATCCCTCATAGGTGGTAGCCCAGGAGGAAGATCCTCTGGCATCAAGTTAGAGAATTCTGCTAGCAGTCGCTGCACTTCTACTGGTAAATCTACATCCACGTCTACTGCATTGTTCTCGCAAGGTAGTAAGGCATAGACCACGCCGCCATGCTCAATCTCATCTAAAAACCTGGACATAGAAAGCATAGTAGTATTATGGGTTACTGGGGTAGGAGTGAGTCCTTCCCGCCGGGGTGCCAACACAATCTTTTTTCCCTTGATGCTAAGGGAATATGTATTCTTCCGTCCATCATGAATGACACTGCGATCATACTGCCAAGGTCGACCCAACAATATATGACACGCATCCATAGACACAACATCACACCAGGCATTATCAAAATATTTTCTACCAATTGAAAAAGACACGAGGCATTGCCTATCAACTGTTACCTCACTGCCTTTATTTAGCCATGACAGCTTGTATGGCTTAGGATGACGGTCCGTCTTCAACTACAATTTCTGGACAACCTCCTCAGACACTACATTCTCACAACTACCGCTGTCAATGATCATTTTACAGACTTTATTTGCAACTGTGCAGGTTGTGTAGAAAATATTGGTTCTCAACCAATCGTCCCCTGAATCGCCCTTGGGAGTAAATAGACTCTTGAAAACGACCAGAGTCTCATGACCATCTCCATACAGCACATCATCAGTCTCATCATCGTCATACACGGGTTCGCCAATCTCCTCAGTCTCGTCTTTCGCGTTTTCCTCAATCAACAAATTTTTGCCCTTTTGACTAGCAGGCTTCCTACAATCAGTCGCCCTATGCCCTTGTTCACCA